CTCATAATATTATGACTTTAATCTTGTATTTTTATGACTTTATTCTCATAATATTATGACTTTATTATCGTAACTTGTAGTTGCATTTTTTAACATCTTATTGAAGCATAAATTTCATCAACTTAGTAGCTAAACTTACTTTTAAAAGCAAATCCTTCAGTCCATGGTGCATTTCCAAACTACGCCGACTCATTAAAAAAAAATAAAAACTCCACCATCTTTGTTTCTTTGTATATTTTGCTGCCCGCACATTGGATCCTGGGATTTCCTTGGCCGGTGAGGATACATAAATGCATCCTCAGATTTCAAGAGTTTGTCGGCTGCATTCCTCAGCAGCTTGATGAGGAACCTTTGAATTGGGACATTTGAAGTCTGTAAGTTGAAAGCTGTAGGAGGAGTTTGCTCAGAAACCTGTACAGGAAAAGAGACAAAATGGCAGCTTGGATCCAAGATGGCTGACTTTCTGTGGTGTTTGGGCCATGGCTCCAAGAGAATTTTTTGTAGGTCCTGATACATTACAGATGTGTGCTGAATTTCATAACTGCCAGTCAAAGCATGGCTTGGGGCCGACTTTTTGAAGTACTGTAGGGGGTGCTACAGTACTTCTTGTACTGGTGTTCGAAACCAAGTCAGACCATCTGTGTTCTGACACAATTTTATGTTGATTGGGTCAAGCTGGTCAGAGATGGACCTTTCCAAGCAAAAAAAGGTCACTTCCTGTCCTCAGGGGGCGTGGCTACAATGATGTCAGCAATTGACCACATGGTATCATCAAGCCTCCCACAGGGATGACTCACAGTGAGTTTGGTGTGGTTCAGACATTCTATGTGAAAGTTACAGCATTTTGAATATGTTGGCGAGAAGGTCATTTTCCAGGCCTAGCCGCGCCCCCTTAGCATGCTCAAAAACTCACAGTTTTGATAAATTTTAATCCCCCATGTCTTAAAAGCGTACTTACCAAGTTTGAAGCCGATAGGTCAAAATCCCTAGGAGGAGTTCACAAAAGTTTGAGGTGAGTAAAAGTGAAACTTAGCCAAACACTGACTTTTGTCCCAAAATGGATGACTTCCTGTTGGCTTTAGGGCATACCTCCAAGAGACTTTTTTTCTTGATTTGGGGAGATCTACCTATGTTCCAAATTTCAGCTCTCTAGGACTTACCAGTTCCTCTATCTCAATTTAGGTGGATCTGTCGAGTCATTTGGCCAGGCCCATTAAATATTCCAATGGAATCATGCGATTTTCACCGGGGGATAATTTTGGGTAAGGTTTGGTGAGTTTTCAAGTATGTTAAGGCTTCCAAATTGGCGGGAAAGAATGACATCTACAAAGACTGGAGCATCCAAGCTTGGAGAGGCAGAGTTTGTCGGCCGCAGTCCTCGGCCGCATGATGAGGAGCTTTTGAATTGGGACAGTACTCAGCGTGGGGCAGTGACGTATGCAGCCGACAAATGCGCACGCATGAGGACCCAGCCCATGAATTGAGACACGAGTGTCCYTGAGCCATTTTATCATACCACTAGTACCCCTTCAGTCAAATATAATGATGATTCTCCAAAACCATAATGTACTACAACTGATTATTAAATTGAAATTATTTATTTAACCCCTAGAGTGTTTAATTCTTCGGCATTTTATTTTATTTTTTAACTAATTAAACATAAAGATAAAAACATTGACTATATTATGTGTTTATCAGGCACATAGTTCAATTCTATACCAAAATAAAGKGACAATGTCACCTTCAGTTCTAATAAAAAGGCTGTTAATTTGTAAAATTCAAAAATTAATTTGACTTTGTATCATAACACCTTGAAATTGGCCTCGGTCTAAAAACCTCGAAATGCTTCTGTCACACCCATGTCTGCACGTCATCACAACACTGTTTCACGCCATTTACAGTTGGYCTTAAGAACATTTTATTTTGTTGTAATAATAATGAAAAATAGCAGCAATATTATACAATATAAGTTTTGGAAAATAGCAACTTGGGATACATTTGAACCTTTCTTGAGTGATCCCACGTCAGAAAGTATGTTCTCTGAAGAACCAGAAACCACAACTTTTAAGATTTAACTTTTACATTTCCCTTCAAACATTTACATTTAGGAATTAATATTTTCATATGTACATTATTTACCATTTAAACGTAACATTTAGGAAAATATGTGCAAAATGTAAGAACAGTGACCTAAATAACAATTCAATGTTAGTGGAAATGTTTTAACACACAAAAAGTGAGCTACTGTAAATAATGAAAATGTGCTAGTGACAATTTTTAAGGTTTTATTTTACTCTTGCCACAGCATACTGTTGGACATAAATAAAATGAACCAACATGAACAGACCCAGTAAAAATGCTTCATACAAACATGCAGTTCACAGGTTTGTGTGTTTGACATAAGTAAAATAAAAYGTGCAAAGATTAAACTGGAAAGGATTCTCACTGCTTTAAGTGACTTTTCTTTTACCAAAAACATTGAGCATGCTGCCATCTTCTGGCTAATCTGTACAACAATCAGTATTTGTAGGCTGGGTGTTGAATAGAAAGCCCCAAAATTATTATTTATTCAATAAAATAGATGAATCTTGTTAATGTGCMRGGACAGCTAYATTTAGTCCAGGGTTAGTCTTAAAAGYCTTATATTTCTGGATCCAGCACCTGAATATTTCCTGGATCTCTTTGGTTCTGAAACAGTAGACAAACGGGTTTACCAGCGGAGGGAAAAAGGTGTAGAAAAAAACTGTGGCCATACGTTTCTCAGGCGTCAGGTTAAAATTAGGAATGTACGGTGCAGTGTAGACAAAAAAGCGAGGTAAGTAGTAGACAGAAATGATAAATCCCTGAGTGGCACAGGTGGAAAAAGTCTTCTTTCTGCCCTGTGGACAAGAACAGACTGAGGTTAACATAAAAACAAAAGCAACATTTCTTGTATTTTGAATCATAAAACTTGATTGTTTAACCTCATGTTTATGCAAGACATACATTACATTAAAATWGATTACTTTTACCTGTCYATTGACCATCTGTAAGACTGTAACAACAATGCAAACATAGGAGAAAATGATGAAKCCTAAAGGAACATAAAGAATAAACATTGCTATGATATATGTAGATTTCTGCACATAACCTATATCCCCACAAACTAAAGCAAGTAAAGTCCCATTGTCACAGAAGGCCTGTAGAATTTGATTGGGACCACAAAATGGCATCTGAATCAGGTTGATGGTGTTGATGCCWGGAAAGATGTGAGCCGTGACCCAGCAGAGAACYGTCAGGACCATCATGGTTGGGATTGTCATCAACATGGGGTATCTGAGGAGAGAAGAGTGAGAAAGAAAATAATCGAACAAAGTAATTTCTCTCATATTCTTGAAGTTAGATTTGAATAATTCCAAATTTTGTTTTTCAACCTGAGAGGAAAGCAGATGGCCAGGTATCGGTCCACAGCCATGGTCAGCAAAATCAAAGAGTTTAAACTTCCAAAATAATGGATCATGTGCTTTTGAAAGTGACATGTGTAAAAACCAATAGTCCCATCATTCCACCAGTAACGCACAATGAGTTTTGGTAAAGCAACTGTGGTAAAACCTGCAGCAAGAATGAAACATTTTAAGACAAAACACACATCACACACATATGATAAAGTATAACTTCTAAAGTTTTTGTTGTGGTAAAAACAACATTTACCAATGTCTGAGAGAGCCAGGCTCACCATGTTGATATACATTGGCTTCTGAAGGTTGGGCTCCAGAGCAAAAACTACAACCAGGACCATGTTGCCCACCACTGTGATCACATAAAGGATGAAGAAGAACCATGCCACTAGATGAAAATACTCCTGCTGGAGACTTGGAAAGCCCACAATAAAAAACTCAGACACTTGCACCTGTGTGCTGTTTTGATCYACTTGAACCATMCTGCAGGCAGAGTGAGGCAGATYATCTATCAGCACAGAGGARGCAAACAACTGAATGTGACACACAGGAACTCTGAGCAGGTCTTACMTCATMCACTGGWCTTAACACACAGACAGGAACAACAGGAGTCAGGTATATTCAARTTGTATTGAAAAACAAATTGTAGAGTTTGTTGTTKCAACTTTGTCTCAGAGGAATRRAAGTAATTAACTCTCTAAACCTGAAGAAACTTTTGAAGGACAAATTAAAATTGTTATCATTGTTGTTGGCTAAAGGAACCCAGTCTTAGTGAGATCAATAATCACCATCGGTTTCTGACATTTATTATCACTTATTTGAGTAAATGTGTTGTATAAGTACATCCATTTGAATATATAAAGCTACGATTTAAAATCATTGGTCACTTTTTAGAAGACAGTGTTTTAGTACTCGAGACCTGTCTTGCGGTCATGGCCGGTGCCCAAACTCTACTTTTATTTAAACTGCCAGACCTCAGGTACCATCCTTATTGTTTTCAATGAACACATGTTTAATTCAGATTGTAAATACAAACTTCAGCAGTGTTAGCAGCGTTAGTAGTGGTTAGCAATGGCGTTTGTTGCAGGATGATGACATCATCCTGGTTAGCTAACAGGGTTGCCATCCGTCCCATAAAATACAGAAATGTAATTTATTTGGCCAATTAATGCTGTGTCCCATATTGATTCATTCAAGTTCAGGTTAAAATCTGGTTTTCGGTCTTCTACCTTAATAAATGCTGATTTGATGTTGTTTTATGAATCCAAAGAATTTAGTAAAATGCTCTTGAAATCGCTGTAAAATCCATAGTTTAGAATACATTATTTACTAAATATTCTGAGGAGTATACCCATGGACCCCCCTAGAACTGTGTCAGTCCACAGCTGCTCATTAACATGAACAGGTGTTCCTCGTTGCTGTCAGCAAACRTTTGCAGGTATGAGGTAGACTTCTGATATTCTGTTTCAAGTGAATTATATTGCCATTTTAATCGGACAACCTGGTTTCTAAAGGTAAAAAATGATATCAAAGACAAAACTATTTAGTTTAGTGTGTGAATATTTGTAAATCAGCAGTGAATTTTTGAAATCTGCAGAAGGGGGCACCACCTGCAATCTTGACTAGGGCGACAAATTGGCTAGGGCTGGCCCATACTGTGAAACAAAAACACCCACACTGCTCACAGAACCTGCGCCTTTTGAAAAATGTCCATTACACTGGCCTCAAAGCAAAAACACTGACAAAAATACAGACGTGAGTGAAAAGAGGCACATCCTTGGCTGCAGCATCAGTAGAGGGGATTATAAGACAAACAGGGGCAGACTGGCCATTGGGAGTACCGGGACTTTTCCCGGTGGGCCGGTGCATCCCTTAGCCGGCGCAGGCAGCGAGGACAAAAAGTTGTGTAGTTGCGCTCATACCAGTAGATGGCGATAATGCACCAATTCATTGTTTACCAACCACCAACAAAGACCGAAGAAGAAAAGTTTGCTGAAGAAGAGGAAGTAGTAAGAAGAAGAAAATGACAAATAAAAATAAGAAGAGTAAAAATGGAGAATAAACCTAAGGGAGGAGAACAAAAATTGATAAAAAATGAAAACGCCTCTACAAGCAAATTCAGCCAAGTGTCAGAAACTGACATTATTTTCTACTGGTGCATCATCCTCATCCTCACTGGAACCTACGTCTGGAGAACAACGTGACTGGGAGGAGGATGGTAGTCATGTAGGTGGCTGTATTTTTTTTCTAATTTGATAACTTTTAAAACAATGCATTTAACTGTTAAATAAATAAAGCCATTATCATGTGTGGACTAGGTCCAAACTGTGCTCAGTAGCTGATAATTTTATAAAACTGTGTTGCTTAAAAATATTTTAACATCAGGTTTAGAAATTTACATCATACATTGGCATTATTCTAAAAGATAAAAATCATAAATGTTTTTGGGTTTCACAAATAACTTTGCCCACTTGGAATTTTATTTTATTTTACCTTATTTTATTTGTATTTATTTTATTTTATTTTATTTATTTATTTATTGATTGAATTAAGGACTATTATACAATAACAATATATTCAAGTGAAAAAATAGTTAAAATTCACACAGTTCATGTGCTGGAAAAAGAAAATGATACCACTTTACATTATAATAATGTTATTTTTTGGGGGGTAAAATCCTCCTCATGAGRTCTTAGATCATGCCAAATGTGGTCCATCACAACATTTTATGTTGCCCGGCAAGAGCTTCAAATGTGTATTATTGTCTTAAAATAAACATATGCTGCTTCAAAGCTAGCTTTGACCATAAACTGCATGTTGATTATTTTACTAGTGAATTGACGGCATCCATAGGAAGGAGCACAGGGTTAAAAAGTAGCCAGTAGCCAGCAGCCAGCGAAACACGTGAAATTGTGATGACGACCTTCTGGTTAGCAAATATCTTTTTTTTGTGTGTGGCAAAACAGCTGAACAACATCAATACACTCTAAGTTGTGTAGTATTGAAAATTTTATAACAGAACAAAATGTTCGTCAGTTGTTGTCCGGTTAATTGTGCGAACAGGAAATCCCCTTGGAGCAAATTAAAGTTCTGGATTTCCACATAAATAATAATGAACTCACAAATTCAACGTGTAAAATGTATTTTTTGCTTCATTAAAACCGCCTACAGCTCAAAAGTGAGTAAAACTCTTACTGTTACTTTTAATAATATTTATTATACATTTAGTCAGTCATATATTAGGTACTTTTCAGTGTTTATAAGAAGATGTGTTAAAACACTGTTTCTATGCAAGAAATACCATGTAGACCTCATTTTTGTTTGTTAGCGGTGCTCAGACATAGCAATGAGATGAAGAATGTGATGTTTTGTGTTTGGTCAAAGTTAAACACGACACCTTGAAGTTATTTACAACTGGCTCKTTGAGGACCACCATAATGCTCAGGTGACCCTCGGTGAAAATGAGTTTGACTCTACTGCACCAGATGTTTACAGACTGTTGTTAAAAGAGGAGAGGACATAAACATGATGCTGACACAACTTTTTTTTAGACRTATTACTGCCATCAAGTTCAAAACTACCTTTTTCTTTTACCAAAAAAATATACTTTTCTAATTAAAAAAATGAATTATTTACTATATTCAATTGTGAAAAAAATATGGGTTTTTGAGATTTGCAGATCATTGCATTGTTTTAATTTATATTTTACCAAATGTCCCAAATTTGTTTTAATTGAGAGCTATATGATAAAATCAAACAAACTGCAGCAACACATGATTTAGTCTAAATCCACATTAAACTCACATATTTTGTGAATTACATGGGTAAAACCTATAGATTAGAATCCTGCACAGATTAGACAGGAATTTATGTTTACTGCATGCTGATGCCATCTTCTGGTCAAACCTGTTCATGAGATTTTTATAACAGGTCTATTCTCCAAATTCAAAAAATAAAAATAAAAAATATCAAATCTTTTTCTGTCATTGTAAAAGTRCACAGCCTTTGTGTCATTATTTTATTTACTTATTTTACTTCGGACGGAAGTGTTTCTATAATACCATATGCAAAAAAAACCAAAAAACATATACCATGTTGGTTTAGTTTCTGTTATAATAATGATTTATAATTGTTTATAAAATTTCATACACAAAATACTAATGAACATATCATTTATTTGGAATTTAGCTTAAACTGTCAAATTCTAACAACCAGCTTGATGGCAATAATTAGATTTAAAATTTGACWTTACTCGGTTTTAATCTCCAACAATCTTTAATTCATAGAATTTAAAAAATAAATGTGATGTTATGTAACTTGCAAATATCATGTTTTGCTGGTGCTTTAAAATATCTGAACCAATCATCCTTACTTGTTTTTATTTACAGCAGGCAGTTACACTTTTATATTATAACATTTTATACTTGATCATAGACTTTGATACCAGCAATTTTGCAAGAAGACAAACGTATCACCACCCTCATTTGATAAATATCAGACATTCTTCCAACAGTTTACATTTATTATGCATTCCTATTCTAAATATGGAAAATTTCAGAACTTCTTTCATATTTTCCTGTTTGAAAATAGCAGCATAATAATAAAATATTTTTTATGAAGCTTTACAAAATAATAATGACAAYAATAATAATTGTTAAATGTTACAGTGCAGAGTTACACAAAGTGTAAAAAGCCAGGTAACAATAAACAACCCATGTCAAGTACATTAAAGCTCATTTGTACACGAAAAGAAAATGACAAAAGAAAAACAAGATTTAGAAAATAAGGGAGGATATCTTTGTGAATTTCAATAARTGAAAGCATAAAATAACGGAGTAGCTTTAAAAACAACAATAAAATGAATAAACTGCATTAATGTACAGCAGGGACAGTGACATTTAGTCCAGGGTTAGTTTTACAGGCCTTGTGCTTCTGGATCCAATGCCTGAATATTTCCTGGATCTCTTTGGTTCTGAAACAGTAGACAAATGGGTTCACCAGTGGAGGGAAAAAGGAGTAGAAAAAGATTGTAGCCATACGTCTCTCAGCTGTCATTTTAAAATTAGGAATGTACGGTGCAGTRTAGACAAAAAAGCGAGGTAAGTAGTAGACAGAAATGATAAATCCCTGAGTAGTGCAGGTGGAAAAAGTCTTTCTTCTTCCCTGTGGAGGACAACAAACTTCGGTTATTTATCATAAACATGTGACCAAATAAAATCAACCATTCATTCTTTCAAATAAAACAAGAATTTTTTAATTTTGTACTCAAATGGGGCTTAAATATAATAATGTAAAAGATGTAATATATTCCATTGTGGACAATAAAAGAGGTGACGTTCACCTGTCCATTCACCATCTGCAGGACTGTAACAACAATGCAAAAGTAGGAAAAGATGATRAAGCCTAAAGGAACATAAAGAATTGTCATTGCTGATACATAGGAGGCAGAGTACACATAGCTTGAGTCTCCACAAACTAAAGCAACTAAAGAACCAGTGTCACAGAAGGCCTGTAGGATTTGACTGGGGCCACAAAAAGACAACTGAATCAGGTTGATGGTGCCAACTCCAGGAAAGATGTGGGCTGTGACCCAGAAGAAGATCGTGAGGACTGTCATAATTGGGATTGTCATCAACACGGGATATCTGAAAAGAGAAAAGTGAGAGGGAAAAGAGAGAATGGTACGATTGCTCTCATGTCAAAAACAAATAAATCCAAGTTTTGTTTCCACMTGAGAGGAAAACAGATGGCCAGGTATCGGTCCACAGCCATGATCAGCAARATCAGAGAGTTTAAACTTCCAAAATAATGGATCATGTGTCTTTGAAAATGGCACGTGTGAAAGCCAATACTCCCATCATACCACCAGTAACGAGCAATGAGTTTTGGTAAAGCAACTGTGGTAAAACCTGCAGCAAGAATGAAACAGTTTAAGACACAACAYACMTCACACACAGATGATAAAGTATAATTTCTAAAGCTTTTATTGTGGTAAAAACAACATTTACCAATGTCTGAGAGAGCCAGGCTCACCATGTTGATATACATTGGCTTCTGAAGGTTGGGCTCCAAAGCAAAAACTACAACCAGGACCATGTTGCCCACCACTGTGATCACATAAAGGATGAAGAAGAACCATGCCACTAGGTGAAAATACTCCTGCTGCAGACTTGGAAAGCCCACAATAAAAAACTCAGACACTTGCACCTGTGTGCTGTTTTCATCCACTTGAACCATACTRCAGGCAGAGTGAGGCAGATYATCTATCAGCACAGAGGAAGCAAACAACTGAATGTGACACACAGGAACTCTGAGCAGGTCACCTCATCCACTGGTCTTAACAGACAGACCGGAACAACAAGACTCAGGTATGTTTAGATTTCAGTGACAGAGGAATTGTAGTTTGTTGATGCAACTTTGTCTCATAAGAATAAAAGTAATTAGCTCTCTGAGGTTGATGAAGAAACTTTTTAAGAACAAATCATTTACTTTTTATTGTCGTCATCGGTTCTGACATACAATATGATTTATTTTAGGAACTCTGACAAGCATGTACAGTAAGCTACAATTTACAATCACTGGTCACTATTTAGGTAGAATACAGCAAAATTGACAACGAGTCCTAAATAGCATCTGATCAAATTAGCTGAGCTGTCTTCACAGAGCTGAAATGCACATGAAGTTTTAGTGTCTTTCCACCAAAATCACAAAGTTTGAAACGTTAATGTTCAGAGAATGTCACTGAAAATTGATTAGGTGTCTTAATAATCAATGTGTAACAATTGAAAGAGGCTGAGTCAGGTCCTCTGGACATGGTCTTCATTGTTGAAATGTTTCGTCTTTTGTCCAAAAGATTTTTTTTCAGTTTGAGACAGGTTTGGGTGGAGAGGTGAACCCAAATTGCAGGCAGACGAGCGGGCTCAAGAATAAAAAGCATTATTTAAGCAAACGTTGATGTGGCGGCAAAAACAAACAAGGAACTCTTGAGCATGCAAGGAGAACATGGAACACCAAACAATTATCATACAAGGGAGTGGAGGAAATAAGCCAGTAATATAGTGACGGGGAAAGTGGAAAGTGGAGACAGCTGTGATGRTTACAAGTACAAACAGGTGAGGGAGAAAGATCAAGAAAGAACAAGAAGAGATTGAGGAACAAGATGAGCATGAAAAACACAAGACAAACATCAGAAGGAGACAGAGCACAAGACATGAGACACCAGATCCTCACTGTACCCCACCAAAGAAAAGATAGTTACTAGATGAAACCTAGAAACACAAACACGAGAGGGAGGAGGGGGCTCAGACTGACAACAGGATGGAGGGCAAGAGACAAAAAAACGCAAGACAGATGAGAAACAAGATAGAACAGGCAAAGCAGAAAAAATACATGACAAAGGCAAGGAACAAAAATTGACAGGAAAGTCTTGGGAAGCTAAAACAAAACACAAAAAAATCTCTGATGATTACCCCAGGTGCATCCAGGGTAAGGCCAAAGCTCATAAGGTTGGCCCAAAGTCTGGCCAAGGTGAAACAGGAACTCAGGAGGTCGGCCAGGGCCCGGCAGAGGTGAAGCAGAAATTCAGGAGGTCGGCCCGGGGCCCAGCCGAGGTGAGTCAGGAATTCAGGAGGTTGGCCCAGGGCCTGGCCAAGGCAAGGCAGAGACTCCTGAGGCCGGCTCGGTGCCCAATTGAGGCATAGCAGGATCTCAGGATGTCGGCCCGGGGCCCAGCCGAGGTGAGGCAGGAACTTGGGAGGTCAGAGCTGGAGCTTTGGAGGTTGGCCTCAAGCCTTGCCATGACAAAGATGAAGCCCAGGATGGTGCCCGAAGCTCAGCCTAGATGGGGCAGGGGCCCTGGAACAGTCTGACCTGATGACCCAGGAAACTTGGAGGCTGCTGTAGACCGAGGAAACTTTGGATGGATCAGGCTCAAGAAACTCTGGATCACGCTTAGGAGACTCTGGATCAGGCTCAGGAAACTTGGGTGCTAGCTCTGGCTCAGGATACTCAGGGAACTTGAGATACTCAGACTCATGATACTTGGGATTCTCGGTATACTCGGGAGACTCAGGATACTTGGGAAATTAAACTCAGGATACTCAAACTCAGGACAGTCGAACACAGGACACTCAGAACACTCGGACTCAGGAGACTCGAACTCTGGATACTCAGGATACTCACAACACTTGGGCTCTGGATCCTCAAACTCCAGAAGCTCAGGGGTCAGCATGGACATTGGAGACTTGGAGGTGAACAGCTCTGATTTGAGGACAGAGGACTTGTGGGCTGAGTCCTCAGCCCACGAGTCCTCTGCTGGGGAGACTGAAGACTCTGTGATGGGGAAACTGAAGATTCGGGTGCAGGAACAGATGTAGAACCAGAAAACTTGGGGATTGAAACAGGAATGGAAGGCACAGAAAACTTGAGACTAGGGGATGAATCTGAGGATGGTAATGATGATGAACCAAGCAGTAATGAAGATGATAATGGATGGAGTGGGTGAGGATGAAGATGACAATATTACAATGTAAATGAGGGAATGAACCCAAATCCAGGTGGAGGTGAGGAGCTTAAAATAAAAATGATTTATTTCATAAAACAAAAGGCTGTCAAGGCAGCAAAACAACAAGAAAACTAAGAACATGAGGAAACATCAAACAGTTGGTAGGGAGACTAAACAATGAACCAATGAGTGTGTGGAAGGCTGACCCAGAATGTATACAAACAGAGGAAATGAGGAAATGAGCTACAGCTGATGAAAACACTAATTGGGAACTGCTGACAGGTGTGAGTAAAAGACTAAGGAGGGAAGTAATAGGTAACATCTGAGGTGTAATGATAATAAGGAAACACTAGAGGGAGGTAGACACAAGACAACAGAAAACACAAATCCTCACAGACGATGGACCAGGTGAGGATGAAAATGATGGAACAAGCGAGGATGAAGATGGTGGAACTGATGACTCAGGAAATAATGGTGACAATGGGTACTCAGAGAATGATGAATCAGGGTCTGAAACTTCAGAGGCTGGATTTGGGACTGGAGCAGGTGACTTGGGTGTCTCTGGGGCCAGAGAAGACTCAGGAGACTCTGGGACTGGACACTCAAGAACAAGCAACAAGGCTGGAGATGAAGACGATGTGGAACCAGGCCTAGATGGTGGAGGTGATGACCCAGGTGGCAGGGATGGTGATGATCCAGGCAGAGAGAACAACGATGATGTTAATAATGATGGACCTGGAGCTTGGTAGATGAGGAACCAGGTGAAAATGCAGCTGACGAGGTGAACTCTAGAGAAGCTGCAGCAGACATGGAGAGATTGGCTGGAGCTGCAGCAGGTGTGAAGAGCTCTGTGCAGGCTGCAGCTGACCTAGAGGGCTCAGGCAGGGCTGCAGCTGGCGTAGTGTTCAGGTTGGGCAGCAGCATCCCCTCCCATAAGGACGCCGAAGCAGGCCTCAGGAGCTTCGGCCCTCTTGAGGGCACTGGTGGTTAATGGCCTCAGGTACCCTCTGGGAAGCAGCACTGGAGGAAGAGGCATCTGGGACCCCCTCGGAGGTGGCACAGGAGGCAGAGGTGTCTGGGACCCCCCTCAGAGGTGACTCTGGAGAACATGGTTGTGAAGTGTTAGGGACTCTCACTAGACAGCATGGACAAGAGGTATTAGAAACCCTCTCATGAGAGTGGGACCCTGTCGGCTCAGATGGGTGACCCCCTGACAGCTCAGATGAGTGGCCCCCTGACAGCTCAGATGAGCAGGTTCCTGTTGGCTCAGCAGAGCTGGATCTCATCGGCTTAGTGGAGCTGGATGGTGGGGCAGCTGGGAAAGGCCCTGGAGTCGCTGCTGCTCTCCTCCGGCGGTGATGGTGAGATGTACCTGGGGAGATGGAAGTCGGGACTCTCTTCTCCGACCTAGGTGGCTCGGTGGAGCTGGATCCTGTTGACCAGGCGGAGTGGTACCCTAGCGACTTGGCAGAGCGGTTCCCTGGCGGCTTGCCGGGGGGTCCCAGCAGTTGGGGAGAGGAGAGCCTCCTGGAGAAGCCTGCGATCTCGCAGAGCCTTCCAAAGAAGCTCTGACATGCCCGGAGAGGTGATCAGGTGAGGGCGCTGGGTAAACAGGTCTATAAAATCCTGCGTCACCACCCACCTGACCCATAAGTCCATGGAGAGGTCTCCCACATCTATAAAAGCACGGGTCCTCTTATGGACAAGAAGCTCTTCCTCAGGGGAAGGCTCAAACAAATCTCCACCTGCTGGGTCCTGGGGCCTCATGTACAAAGACTTGCGTGGATTTCTTACTGAAACATGGCGTATGGTCAAATCCAGAAAACGGCGTACGCACAAAAAAATCCAGATGTATCAAACTGTGCGTACGCTGGAATCCATGCACATTGCTTTCGTACATCACAATTAACGTGGAACTGAGCGCAGGTAAGACACCTCCCCTGACACGCCTTCATTAATATATGTTAAACAGATGCAAATTACTTCCTGCATTTGTGAAGGACACGTTTGAGTGATCCCTGCGCGATCAGAAATGATTTCTAATGTCATAAAAAATAATGAATTTACTATAAAGTGAGTGTGAAAAATCCTAAGTAAAAATAGGAATAAAATATGTTTATTATGCAAAGAACGAGTGATTGTGTGTCTGTGTGTGTGTGCACGCAAACTGCTGTGTTGCGCAACCGGCTTATCACTTTGCGCATGAGTTTATTACCATTACTGTAAACACAGAGGAACTTAAATGTTTGGTAGAACATAGATCTTAGTTTATTTCATAGCTGATATGAAGAAACGAGTCTCTGCTTCTCAGTAGAGAGTTCACATGACGTGATGTTGGAGAGTCCACACAAACGCTGCGCGCGCCACAGCCTTTGTGCGCAGTCTGTCTGTCCAGCTTTTGCTCTCCTATTTACAACATTTTCACAAGTTGTAAAGTGTACTTCCACGTGTCATTTTGGAGAAATCTGCAACAACGTAAACGCAAAGTATGAAACACCACTGCTGGCGAGAGTGCGCGCTCCAGAGCGCGACCATAACTCAGCCTTTAAAACCATTTGGATGAGACGAATCCATTGGTCATGACTCAGCTTTGGGTGGACTGGACTGACATGGTCCCGATGGGTCTGCCAGCTCCCTCTGGAAAGCTCCTGTGGAACCCCAGTTCAATCGCTGCTGCTGCACGTGCACGCGGCTACTCGCTGCGTCACGCTCCCAGAGCGCAGCAGTGCCAAACTAAAAAATTATTTTTCCTCACAAMGGCTGATGAGCCACTCGTCATCAGAAAATTMTATCTGTTTATAAATAAAAGCTCTGCGTGTTACACYATTTATTATATCCTCCAGTAAGGCTAAATCTGTTCCTATTGAATGTATTTTTGGCACAACTTTGCGCGYCTTTTATTTAATTGCGTCCATGTGGTTGTAATAATTGTTAATCATGTGGATGTAAAAATTWTTAATCACGTGTKTCTGCTGTGAACAATAATCATTTTCACATCATGAGCAGTTTCTCAGAATCACCTCTAAGTGTCGCCAATGGAGCCAAAGCCACAGAAACGTGCGTACACCAGCCCTGGAGTTGGCGTGGGGCTGCGCACATTTCCACGTTCAGTTGAGTTTTGATACATCYGGAGATTTGAGTGGAAAATGGCGTATGGAAGGTTTTTGTGCATACGCACCGTTGATACATGAGGCCCCTGGTCTGGTCTGATCATTCTGACAGGTTTTGGTGGTGAGGCGGACCCAAAATGTAGGCAGACGAGCGGGCTCAAGAATAAAAAAATTCAATTAAAGCAAACGTCGATGTGACAGCAAAAACAAACAAGGAGCTCTTGAGCATGCAAGGAGAACATGGAACACCAAACAATGACCGGACGAGGGAGTGGCGGAAATGAGCCAGTAATATAGTGACGGGGAAAGTGGAAAGTGGAGACTGCTGCGATGATTACAAGTACAAACAGGTGAGGGAGAAAGATCAAGAAAGAACTAGAAGAGACTGAGGAACAAGATGAGCATGAAAGACAGAAGACAAACATCAGAAGGAGACAGAGTACAAGACATGAGACATCAGATCTTCACAATCTGATGAGCTGCAGGCAAACTCATTTTTGTAATATAGCAATACTTTAACAAAGAGGATCAASCAGTTTTTTGGCAACACCAAAAACTGTTTGCTCACATGCAAAAGCAYGACTATCAGCCTAAMAACCGATTGTTAGTGYCCTAATGGTTGCTTGCTGTTCACACTCAGTTCACACTCACAGTACTGTGACAATGGGACAATTGGACACAGAGGCCTCCACCCCTGATGGGCAGATTGTCCCCCCTCTTATAATGCAGTTATTGAGCATCCCTCAGCCTTGTGTGAAYAACAAGCAACTATCATGCTACTTATTATCAATMATWRGGCTGATGGTCCTCCTTTTGCTTGTAAAGAACCAGTTTTGGATGCCACAGACAAACTGACTGACTGTAAAAAGGCATTTTTCATAAGACTGAGTTTGCCTGCAACTCCTCAGTCTGAAGTAGTCTTTTGGATAAAAGATGAAATGTTTCAACATGCAAGAACCCATCCCACCCACCGAAGGCAGGGCCCAACACTGAATGAAAAAAAAAAAGAATATTTGGACATTACTGGCACAATGGACAGGTTTTGACAGAGTTCAAACATAAACACAAAGAAGTGGGTATTAAAGGTGTCMTTTTGGTTCAACAAAACTTCAGTTTTTTTCCACTCAAAGAGTTTTCATGTTTTCTAAACCCATTTTTCACAGAGAAGCATTTTTATGTAAAAAGATTTATCTTGAATATTTTTACACATTAAAAACTGTTTCAC